CTGGAAGACAAAGGAGATAGAAATCTTGAAGAAACAGGGGTAGCATAGAGTTCATGAACAAAACACAAGCTGCCCAGGAAGTAAGGACTTCTGTCTAAACATAAAAGGAATTTAAAAAATCAGACCCCCAAAATTCAAAGATCCAATCCAAATATGGGCATCCAAGATGAATACACACTTCTCAGAGGAAGAAATACAAATGGCAAATAAATACATGAAAAAATGTTCAGCATCATTGGTCATTAGAGAAATGCAAATTAAAACCACACTGAGATTCCATCTCACTCCAGGAAGAATGGCCAGGATAAAGAAAACTACCAATAACAAATGCTGGAGAGGCTGTGGGGAAAAAGGAACTCTTCTGCATTGTTGGTGGGAGTGTAGACTGGTACAACCACTGTGGAAATCAATGTGGAGACGCCTCAAAAAAAAAAAAAAAACCCTAGGATTAGAGGTCCATTCAACCCAGCTATTCTCCTGGGTATTTTCCTAGAAGAATTAAAAACTTCATACCACAGCAATATTTGTACACCTGTGTTTATAGCACAATTTATAATAGCCAGATCTTGGAAACAACCCAAATGCCCATCAACTGAGGAATGGATAAAAAAGATGTGGTATTTTTATACAATGGGGTACTACTCAGCTGTAAAGAAGGATAAACTCAAGGCTTTTACGGGTAAATGGATGCAACTAGAGACCATACTCAGAAGTGAAATAAATCAGATGTGCATGTTTAAACATCATACCGCCTCCTCCGTGTAAGAAACCGGGAGATTAAGTAAGGTCCAGAAGGTGCCATAGATATTGTGAAAGGAAATGAAACTGCTCCAAAGGAAAGAATAACTGGGATGGGGAAAAAAGAGAGAAGAAAGGGGGAAAATATATAGAGGTACACACACAAGATCGCGAAGATAATTGCACTATTGATCCTGTTACTTCAGGGAAAGACACCGTGATTGCTTACATTGATCTGTTTTGCATGCCTGCATCTTGTAATCTGAGCAACTATTTTGAAGATAACAATACGCAATAGAGTGACTATTGTTAATTTCCTATCGCCTTGTTTTGAAATCTTGAATTGGTTCTAATGTTTTGTTTTTATTGTTTTGGTTTTTTTTAATCCCTTTAAAATTAAAAAAGGTTTAAAAACCCAAGCAGGAGGCCGGACACAGTGCCTGCCTTTTTGGCCCCTGAAGGAAGGTTACCACAGAGTGAATATTTCTGCATCTGCTCCAGCTACGGTACAAACATTTTGAGGCCCGACCTGCTCTGGCCTTTTACCACATCGGAGAAAATGCGGGTGGCCAAGGTGGGAGAGGAGAACGCCTGTCCTCCTGTGTCACCTGCAGAGCAGGGGCAGCAGCCACATCCACGGAGCCCTTGTGCAGAGGGGACGGGGAGAGGCACACGTGATAGGATTCGGCTCGTGGGAGGTGGGACGCGCCCAAGAGAGGGCAGTGTGAGGGGACAGAGCACAGACAGCGGTGCTGGGCAAGAGCAGAGGGGAGAGGGAAGGGGCTGTGCTGGGGAAGCACAGGCGAGAACGTGGTCTGCACCCAGGTAGCAGGAGGCCAATCTGCTAAATGCTACTGGCTCAATCATGCACATCACGGTGGTTACGGCGCGGAATTTCGGGTGGATGTAGCTTACCATGTTGTTTTTAAAATCGCCCACAAAACCACAGCTTGAGGAGTGACAAGAAGCAAATTCCTCCACCCCTCTGAGCCTCAGTGCCCGCATCTGCAGAGTGGGGGCATGGACAGGTGCCCGGTCACGGTGCACACTGTGCCAGTCTGTCTTTGGGAATGACAGGGTCAAGGAAGTGCTGCCTCCCTGTGCTGAGGAACTGCCTCCCCCGGGGCCTCTGCAAGGGTCACAGCCAGGCGCAGACACAAGCCTCTGGCTCTGCAGACAGCCTGAGTCCCTGGAGCCTCTGCGTAGGAGCTCAGCTAGCTAGCTAGTGTCAGCCCCTCTTAAGGGCCGAAGCCACCTCCATCCCCTGAGCGGCCTGCCCCTGGTGCTCCGACTCTCACATCGGGCTGCCGCAGATCACGTTGGCAGCTCTGGGGGCCTGGTCTGAGCGATTGGGCACTCCAGATCTAATTCTGCAGGTAATTTGAGCGATGCTATCTAATTTCAAATGTTCCTGCTCTTATGAGTGCAAAAGCAGCATAATTTTTAATTAGTGGGTAAACAGTAAATAATGAATGGCAGTAAGTGGACACCACTGTTAATTAAAAAAACCATGGTTGATAAAAATCAATTTGGTCCCTGCATTTTAACCAAGTCTATCAGGTCCCTGCAAAAAAAGTTGTGCAACCCAGCCACAGTACCATCTGCCTTCAGTTGTTGATCTTGTTAAGACTTTTCTGGGAGGGCTGGAGGAGGGAAAAAAAGAAAAGAGAATCAAAGCCTGCCCTCAGGGCTGCCATGGGGCAAAAGTCACGGCATTATTTATAATTGGCAGAGTTTATTTTTGCAACCTTGAGATTGAGGTTCGTGCGCGGCCAAGAGGCGGCACGCCCCGGTGTGGAGTTAGTTCTCGGCAGCACTGTCTGAGGTCGCGGGTGTGTCCGCGCCCACGACAGAGTGGGGCTGAGCCCTCCCCCAGACTCCGGGCATAATTAAGCCCTAATTTCTCACGGGAAAAATAAGAGAAACTAAAACACAGTTAGAGGAGCACAGTGTCTGTAGATTCACACAAAACCCAGTGTCTCTGCCGTCTCCCCTCTGTGCCTTGGAGGGGACACTCAGGGAAAGGCTTGTTTTCTTTTGAACAGAAAACATTTTCTCGCGAAACCTGATTTCATGGAAACTATGAGACTATAATTTTCAGGACCCATTCTCAATTTTGCTCTGAAACGTAGGCTTGATTTTCCTTCGAGGCACATGAGGCTGACCCAATCTGATCCTTCTCTTCGCCCCCCTTCTATCCACTCTCCAAATCAACACTTTGGGACAGATTTCATTGATACTGGTGATGTTCGAATTAACCTGCAAAATTGAATCCAGGGGACCCAGTGTCTTCCGACAAAGTTGGCTGCCAAGCACCAAAGCTCGCGTGGCACGGACGCCGAGCCTGTCTCTCCAGCGCTGGGGGAGGGTGCTGGACGGGGCCCAGTGTGGACATGCACCCCACCCACCATCACGCCCTGCTCCAGTCCCTCTGGCACCTCCGCCTGGAGTCAAGGTGATGCAGAGATACCTGACTTGTCTCTTTCAAAGCTAGGGCACCCTTGGAGCTGCCCAAGTGACCACACGTGCATGCGAGGACACCCCAGAACAGACTGGGTGTTTGCTTTTATTTCTATTATTTGGCCCCTTGACGCCAACTGGTTGGTTGGCCAAGAACACTAAGGGAGCCAGCGCCAGCCTGGCTTCTTCACCCACCCACCCACCGCAAGCTCAGTCAACATGGTAGCACCTTGCAGCCCAGGTCTCCAATCTGTGGGCTGTCCCCTCACTGGGGACAAAACACAAGCAGCCCTATTCTAGCAACCTAGGCCTGAACCCTGGCCACATCGGACCCTGGTGGAGCTGAGCCTGCCGTTTCTCTGTCCAAGGAGGAAGAGGATGCTGACGCCTGGCTCCCAGGGTCGCTACCATCAGGAGAGGGGACATCTCCATAAAAGTGCACAGAGCAAGCCAGGCGTTGTGGCACACACCTGTCATCCCAGCACTTGCCAGGCCACGCAGGAGGATTGCTGTGAGTTTGAGGCCAGACTGGGCTACATCACGAGACCCTGTCTCAAAAAATGCACAGCCTTTGCACTGGTGTCTTTGTCTCTCTCCTGCCTTAGCTCCCCAGGGAGGCTGGATGTCAACTCTCAAATGCCTGCAAACTGAGGAATCTGCTCTACCCCAGGCCCCTGGGAGGTCACTGAGGCAGAACAGATGAGGTTGATCTGTCCAATCAGAGCGCTCCAAGGAGGCAGTGGGGATACCCGGCTCCCCAAGAACTCCACATGGGAATGTGTGAGTGGATGCAGGAAAGGAAGGGCCAGAGCCCGAAGAGGTAGCCCCTCTTTTTTTTTGTGTGGTACCGGGGATCAAACTCACGACTGCGAGCTTGCAAGCGGGCACTTATGCCACTGAGCTAAATCCCCGGCCAAGGTAACCCCTCTTCGTCCACTTTAGCGATAGGCTTGGTCAAAGGACCAGGCCAGAAAGCCTGCACAGTGACCCCGGGTGGCTGGGCCCAGGGTCACTACGGACACAGCCCACCGCATGGGCTGTCTCGGTCCATCCCCTCTGAATGGGGTGACAGTTTCGGGGGGGAATTGCTGCTCTTCAGCAGCTGAAGGTCTTGGTGCTCCCCTCAGAGCAGCGCCTAGACGATGAGGCCAACTGTCCCATGCTCTGGCTTGACTTGTCTTCACAGCCAGGGCCACACACAGCTCGATGTCACCAAGGAAGACCTGGAGCCCCATCGGGTGACCCCTGCTGCTCGCATCTGCCCTCCAAGCACCTCCTTCCTGGCAGTGCCAACTCCCGCCCAGGCTTGGGGACAGGACAGGATGTGGCCGCATGGTGGCCTCCTGCCTTGACACCGGCATTGTGCATGAGCAGAGCACCACTCTGGGTCCCACAGATGCCTCGGGGGAGGATCCCCAGGGCAAGTGCAGGAGTAAAAAGGTGCTGGGTGGCCGGAAATGGCACAGCTCTGACCGGCTGGGCCCTTTGCGGAGGGAGGGGCCTGCTCTGGGGAGCAGCGGGGTCCTCAGGCCACAGTGGTCTCTGTCCAGGAGTACAGGAGCCCAGAAGGCACAGCTGCAGCAGCAGCTCTATGAGACGGCTCAGCGTCTAGGAGTCTGGCACACCAATCTGGCTAAACAATCTCAGGCCTGGGCCTGGGCCGGCCTCCGTCCAGGGTTGCTTTCCCCAGCGAGTCTCATCTGAGCACCCTGCTACCTATCAAGTGGGGTCCTGGCTCAGGCAAACAGCGGGTGAGGTGGGGCGTCCATAAGGTTCTCTGACCTTATGCATCTGCTTTGCAGCTAGTACCACAGAGCCAGCTGGGGCCACAGAGAGCAGCCGCCTGCGCTGGGAGCCCCACTGCCAGCAGCCGGTGTCCGAGGGCTCGCCTGTCACTGCTGTCTTGCCTCCCCGCCTCGATGGGCCCTGGATCTCCACTGGGTAAGACTTCCCCCCACCCCTGATGATGGGCCCCTAAGCTGGGGGACATTTCCCTTGCTGAGCCTCAGTTGCCACATCTGCGGAGTGGGGCCAGTTTCTCCAGGTCTTGAGTGGCTCGCTAGCTATCAAACACATGGTTCCCGTTCCCTTTCCCTCACCAAATGTCACCTAGGGCAGGACCATGACTCAGCCGACCACAGCAAGGGCACATGGGATCAGCAGAGGGATGTGCACCAAATAGACAACCATGGCAAAAAATACTACAGACTGGAGAATGTGCTAGGCTCTGAAATGAAGGAAATCAAGCTGAATGTAATAGCAAAGGACCTGGTTGGGGTGGCTTCGTGGGAGTGGCGATCTTCAGCTGGGAGACTAAAAGGAGTCTGTTGCCCAGAGAGCCAGGAAACGGCCAGGCAAAGGACATAGCTGGGCAAGGCCAGGTGGGATCCAGGCTCCTGGCACCACGCTGCTCGGAGGCAGAGCCGAGGTTCAGGGAGGGGGGACCTGGATGCAGGCGAGGCTCCCACCCTGGCGCCAAGGCAAGTCTTCTAAGATGCTTCTTCTGAAATGCTCGTCCTAGAAAGCACCCTGCCAAGCTCTCCAGAAAGGCCTGCTGCCTCCTGGAAAGCATGCAGAAAAGGGTCCAGGGCTGGGGACACCCACTGTGTCCAATGTGACCTGTGGCATCTTTGGGCACATCTTGCTGCTCTCCAGACCTTGATGGTAGCAGTTTAGAGACGTACTGGGAATTGAACTTAAGGCCTTGGCTCTGAGCTACATCACCAGCCCTTCTGTCTTTTTTATTTTGAGACATGATCTCGCTAGGTTACTAAATTGTCCAGGCTGGGCTTGAACTTGTGAGCCTCCTGCCTCAGCCTCCCAGAGTGCTACGCTTACAGGCTCCCATCAACACATCGAGCTTCCCCTCCCTATTTTTAAACACCACCTGTTCTGGTATTTGCTCACTATTTTTCTTTAAACCAACTTGCTTTTATTTACTTAAACATCTTCATTCATTTTTACAGCTTTATTGAGGTATAATTGGCATACAGTAAACTGCACCATCTACACTGGGATATAATTATTTTTAAAGGAAGCATAATATCACCCTGGATACGGAGAACAGAGCCACTTTGCCATAAATAAGAAGTAACTGTAAAAAGAAACTCAATGAAACAAAACAGCATAATTAGAATCTCTGGAGATTCATGGCCTACCTAAGGCTCCAAGTCTGTTCTCTCTGGGAATTAAAAAAAAAAAAGGGTTGGCATTCAAGATGCATAAACTCTGAACACAGACTTTCTCCGTAGTACTGGCCACAAGAGGGAAAGAAAAGGAAACCATTGCTGCATGATAACTTATTCCCCCTGCTCCAGCAGCCTGGGTATAAAAACAAACAAACAAACACCAGGCAAACAGTGGTGTAGGTTGGGGGGGACCTGGGGAGGGGGAAATTGTGAGTGGGGGGTTATCTACCATCCGTCCCATCTGAGCCCTGATAAGTGAGTCCCAAGAAGTGGCTGTGACTCTAGGAGTCCTTTAGCTTCCCTTTCTCTTCACCTGCAATTGTTGGCTTTAGCAGCAGGACAGAGCCTGGAGCCAACCCTGCCTGCCACCTGTTTTTATAAATAAAGTTTTATTGGCACACTACGGTCCCATTCACGTACATGTCATCCGTGGCTGCTTTAGCTCTCTGACTGCGATCTTGAGTGGTTCCAGCAGGCACCATCTGGCCCTCAACATCAAAAAATCCTTATGATCTGACCCCTTTGCAGAAAAAGCTTTCCAGAAAGCCCCTCATGGATGCCAGATCAGAGAAGAGGCAGGCAGGACCGTGCCAGCAGCCCTCTCCCGGGCTTCACGCACCCCCTTATCACATAGCAAGGACACTGGAGGGACCAGCGTGTGCAGCGCTGTGAGGGGCGCCCAGCACCAGGGGGAAGCGGGGTGCAGCCCCCAGCCCCAGCTCACCGCGCGATGCCCGCCCCCACCGCCTGGTGGCGCTTGCCCGAGTTGTGGGAAGCCTGCCAGCCCCAGCAGTGCAGCTGCCTGCCCAGCTCTACCCGGGCCGTGCAGAGGCGGCTGCAGTGCCGCTGGCAGTGGGGCTCCGCGGCTGGCGCTCACTGCTCCACCGCGTGTCTCCTTTCAGCTGCGAAGTGCGCCCGGGCCCGGAGTTCCTCACCCGATCCTACACTTTCTACCCCAACCGACTCTTCCGTGCCTACCAGTTCTACTACGGGGACCCCTCCTGCCAGGAGCCCACCCACTCGCTGCTCATCAAGGGCAAAGTGCGCCTGCGCCGGGCCTCCTGGGTCACCCGCGGTGCCACCGAAGCTGACTACCACCTGCACAAAGTGGGCATCGTCTTCCACAGCCGCCACGCCCTGCTTGATGTCATCGAGCGCCTCAACCAGACTTGGGTGGGCCAGGACTGCGTGGGGCGGCTACCGCAGGCCACAGCCTGGCTGCCCGGGGCACTGTATGAGCTCCCCAGCGCCAGGGCGCAGGGGCACTGCATGGCAGCGCTGGGCTTCAGCATGCACGAGCTCAGTCTGGTCCGCGTGCAGCGCCGCCTGCAGCCGCAGCCCCGGGCCGTGCCCCAGCTGGTCGAGGAGCTCTACCTGGGGGACATTCACACGGACAGAGCAGAGAGGCAGCACTACCGGCCCACAGGGTACCAGCACCCACTGCAGAGCGCCCTGGTGAGTCTGGGCCCCTGGGAGGGGAGTTCTAGGGCCCAGCCCAGCCGGCTCCCTATGATCTGGTCCCTGACAGGGTCCTGCCTGGCCTCCATCACTGACCTTTACTCTGGTCTGCACATGCCGTTCCCTCCGCTTAGATGCCTTTTGCCCCGGGCTTTCCTGCCTTGCTGTTCTTGTTTTTGGTGCTGTCTCAGAAGAAAACATCAGTTTGCTCCCCTCCCCAGCCCTCACGGCCCAGACGTGGTCCCTGCAGCACCCGTTTCTGCCTCCACTGAGCACAAGACTTGGGTGGGTTTCCCCTTTTCTTGGTTCTCCAATCAAATATTCCCTCTGTCACCAGACCCTTTCCAAGAGCAGGGCTATGGCACCAGCCAGTCCAGGCTCTGGCTCCCGGTCAGGGCCAACACATACTGGTGAGTGGCCGAGGCAGGCGGCATGTGCTCCAGGCTCTGCTGGGGCAGCGGCTCACCCTCCAGCACGGTCCTCCTGCCAGCACACGCATCCTTGCGATCGTGCAGTGTGCAAATGTATAACCCCAGGCTCTGGGCACAGTGCCTCTGAGACAGGGCAGGGCCTACAGGGCAGGAGGTCCACAGTGCCCTCTGGGCCGGGAGCCCCAAGAACGGCTTTCTCTGTGAGGTGTACCCCAGGCTCTAGATGACTGCAGACTGTAAGAGAAGCCATTGCAGACACGTCCTCCTAATCTGCTGACAATGTGGGAGCCCTTTTCACCTGCTGAGCAGATGGGCAGAAGGAAAGCTGTCTTTAGACACATCACAGGCTCGTGGCACCCAGCCAGGACAAGTGTGGGATTCACGACTTTGTTGATATCTAAGCAGTGACGAGGTGGGGCAACCACCATCCCTGGAAGACCCCGTGAAGGCCACCGAAGCCTTAGAAAAAATGCTTTTAAAAGCATAAGATAAAAATACATTGGCTTTAATGGAAACCAATCCCATTAAGATACCATAATGTAGTTACTGAGGTCTTCAAGCATCAGTGTGTGGCACAGAAATACTAAGAATAGGAACTCTCTTCTCACTGTCATGTCCAGGCCATGATGCGTGTCAGCAGTGTTCCCTGTGTCTGTGACACGGACGACACTTCAGAGATTCTCCGGGTGCTGCTGGGGTGTGCGGCCTGGGGACTCAGTCAGTTACAGGGTAACTGCCGAGAAGCTGAGGTTGGGGGACTTCTGAATGAGGCTTAGGGACTTCTGAATGAGGCACCCAGTGACTCTCTTCTCAGAGTGCAAACCCACAGAGGGACGGAGGCTGGGCTGAGGACAGCCAGCCCCATCCAGCGCCCTCTCGCCTCGGACACCTCGGCACGCACTGGGTGCCACGCTCAGGGTCGAAGCCAGACGGAGCCACCTCTCACCCCAGGAGAGGACGAGGGGCAGGCCACCGGGGATGAGACAGACCCACATCCAACTGCCTCCCTCCCCCTCTCCCACTCCCGCCCGACACCGAGGATCTGAGTGACAGAGAAGGGGGATATGACAAGATTCTTCTAATCAGAAAATCAGCCTCAGGGTTCTTGGAGTGGCCTGGAAATTATCCCCTTTCAGCAGCCAGTTCGTGCTCGATGGAGGAGGAGGTGCTGGTGGCTGAATAATGAGCGGCCCTGGAAGCCACATCCCCCTCCCCTCCCCCTTCCCCTCCCCCCTCCCCTCCCCCCCTCGTCATGAAGGGAAGCTGCTTGGAATACAGAGGGCTGCCAGGGCTGCCAGAGCTGTCCCCGCTCCCCCTGCTGCGGCCTGCAACGTGATTGAGAAGCAAGACACATAGGAACGTGTGCCTCGCCGAGCGGTGCCAGATGTACAGACGTTAAATTAATGTCCGCCCGGCAGCCCCCCCCTGCAAGGTGGAGGATAATTTCAAAGAAGGAAACACTGCAGATAAGTCCCCAAATAACGAATTAGTTGTTACCTTATGCTCTCCGGGACCCAAGCCTTGCCCACGACCCAAACCAGATGGTAAACATGAACATTTTTAGAAGTTAATTTAAAACCAATTTGATCCCCACATTCATCGCCTGGATATAGAATCTTAATCAATCAGCCAACATGCAACCAAACTCATCTACACCTGGTGTCACCTCTGTGGGTTAATTAGAAACTATTGTATGCTGTTTGAGAAATAACTTTATATAACAGGTTTAAGCCCGTAAGAGTTTGGCTTCCAAACAAGTGTGAATTTGGCTGGCCGGAGGCCTCGTTAGGAACACGTGTAATTCTGGACCTCTGCAGAAGGGCGCCCGGGAGGTATGCGAAGGCCAGGGGGCCTTGTTTCCCCATCACTTTCAAAAGTTCCCAGCATGTAATCCTAGTTCCTTAGGAGGCTGAGGCAGGAGGGTCACAAATTCAAGGCTAGCCAGAGCAATTGGGTCTATCAAAATTAAAAAGAAGAGAAGAAGAAGAAGCAGAATGAGAAGAAGAAGATGAAGAGGAGGAGGAGGAAGAGGAGGAAGACAGAATGAGGGTACAGCAGTGGAACAGTGGTTTGGATCTGAACCCGAGTATTCCACCTCCATCCCCCCAAAAACGTTCCCAAGAAGGAAAAGCATCTCTCCCTTCTCTCCCCCTTAAAAGCTTGCTGGCTGACTGTCTCCGCTGTGTCAAAGTCCTCTTCCCCCAGATTACCTACCAGCACCCCAGATCCCCTCTCTGAGTGTGCCTGGGCACGCGGCAGCGAGGGCCACTCTGGAGTAATTTTGATGTAATGTACTACGTGCCGTCAGTACGCATTAGTGTGACAGTACTCCAGTCCGGGTTAAGACGCCTGAATTAGAGTGGACTCCTATCTGCCCCATCCCAATTACCGCCTCCCAGCTAACAGGCGAGCTGGCTTCTCTCCGACACCCACACCTCTGCAGCCAGTGGCTCCACTTCACAGCGCCTTCCAGCTGTCTGGGTCAGAGTCCCCAGAGCAAAAGGGAAAGAGCCTCCGGTGTGACGGAAACCAAGGAGCGCTTAGACCCATCATGGAAATAAATACTAAGAGCTTCTAAAACACGGCAATCCAAACAAGGGGGGGGATTTCCCTCAGTCGTCTCGTATTTTTGTCCTAATTCAGTCCAGTGCCACTTGTTTTTGGCATAAAACCCACCTAGTAGGGGCTGGGAATTTAGCTCAGCGGCATAAGCGCCTGCCTTGCAAGCAGGCAGTTGTGAGTTCGATCCCTGGTACCGATAAAAAGGAAAAAAACAGACCAAAAAAAAAAAAAAAAAAAACCCATCTAGTGACAATCTGTGAAGATCTTTGGAGCTGTTTTCCATTTTTGCATATATATATTTAGATAGATAGATAGGAGCTGACCTCACAGCCGACTTTTGAAATGCCCCTTGCCCTGTGGACCCTGTTTCCCCCAGGACTCCCCATGCCCGGGCTGGCTTTGGCAGGCCTTGCAAGGCCATTTATCTTTCAGCACCGTGTTCTGGACTTCATTCTGGGCAGTGGCTCCCTTTAAGAAAAACGGAAGAAGGAGATGGTCGCTATTGTTTCCTTTCTGGTCTCTGCTGAGTGTTTTCACTCCCAAATGCAGACTGGCTACTGCCACGAAATTTGATTTAACATCTGCTTCCTGTTGACGTGCTTTACTGTAAACCCACCTTGGAGCACCTGGAAAGCCGTTAAACAAGGCCAGAGACAGGGGGAAACCAGATCAGGGCCGGGGTACCCAACAGTGCCCGAAGTCTCAGGTGCAGCTGGTTTCCCCCGTTGTAGATAACACCAGAAGGGACATCTCTGAGCCGCAGCACTTACAGTTCAAGCTACAGCTTGGCCACTTCCTTAAGACCACTTCAGGCAGCCGGTTCCGAAGGCCTGGAGGTTCTGGCCACCTTCGCTCCTCATTGCCCCATTCAGTCGCCTTCCAACTGCTAAAGTCCAAAGTTCCCATCCTCGGCAGGAGGCAGGCCGTGTGCCCCTAATCTCAGCAGTCCGGGAGACTGAGGGAGGAGGGCCCCAAGTTCAAGCCCAACCCGGGCAATTTAGGGACTTGGTGAGAACTCGTCTTCAAATAAAAAACAGAAAGGGCTCGGTGAAGGCCCCGGGTTCACGCCCCAGCTGGAAAGAAGGGAGAGAAGGAAGGAGGAAGGGAATTGAAAGAAAAGCTGCCACCAGCCTGTAGGGGAAACACACTGCGGGGAGGATTTGGCACAGAAATTCGGGGGCTCGGGCAAGCTTGTCACAGGTTGCGCCTCTGATCAGCCCCACTGCTTTCACTGGGACACCTTGAGGACCGGGCTACGCTGGGCTGTGCAGCGGTCTCTCGAGATGAGAGTCTGGCGTTGCTCTTGGGCAGTGCCCCAGACAGTGATGGCCGTTACTGAAGAGCAAGGAGAAAGATCCACGCTACAGGTCCGGTTTCAGGGCCAAGCAGGCTGCACATGAGGAAGACAAGTCTGAATGCAAGCTCCCAGGCCGCCTCCGCCCGCAGGCGCTTCCAACGGGCTCACTCAGCAAGCCGGTGCTTGGCGATGTGCTAGCCGGGATGATACAGGAGCTCAGAGACAGTCAGTGGGTTTGAGGTGGTAGGGAGCCATGTGCCTGCCAGGGGATGGGACAGCCCCAGAGGCTACTTGTGTGGCTGCCCTGGGTCTTTCGGTAAGGGCCTGAAAGAGGAGAAGGAGCTGCTGATCCTTCTGGCTGGGGTGTCCAGGCAGGAGGAGCTGCATGTGCAAAGGCCCTGGGGAGAGGACAGCTCGCTGAGATCCAAGGGTAGCGATGAGACGGCCCTGGATAGAGGCCAGCAGGATGGGAGAGAGACGGTGGCCACAGGGTCACCGAGTGCGGAGCCCGGGGTCCCTCCTGGGCTGCAGCCGGCCACCTCCCCAGTGGGCTGGGGGGACCGGCCACTGACCGCTCTTCTGTTTTCTCCGCAGCACCACGCGCGGCCCTGCCCCGCCTGCGCCCTGGTGGCCCGCGCCGACGAGCACCACCCGCCCGTGCTGCCGCGCGCCCCGGCCGTGCCGCTGCGCCTGGGCGGCCGCTGGGTGAGCGCGGGCTGCGAGGTGCGCCCGGCCGTGCTCTTCCTCACGCGGCTCTTCACCTTCCACGGCCACAGCCGCGCCTGGGAGGGCCGCTACCGCCACTTCTCCGACCCCGCCTGCCGCCAGCCCACCTTCACCGTCTACGCGGCCGGCAGCTACAGCCGGGGCGCGCCCTCCGCCAGGGTGCGCGGCGGCACCGAGCTGGACTTCGAGGTCACGCGCGTCCGCGTCACGCCCATGGACCCGGTCACGGCGGCGGTGCTGAACGCGTCGGAGCCGGGCAGCTGCGGGGCCCCCGGGGCCTGGGCGGTGGGCGTCGAGCGCGACGTCACGGCCACGCAGGGCTGCGCGGCGCTGGGCATCCGGCTGCCGCACGTGGAGTACGAGCTCTTCAAGGTGGAGCGCGACGCGCGCGGCCGCAGCCTGCTCTTCATCGGCCAGCGGCCCTCGGACGGCTCGAGCCCCGACACCCCCGAGAAGCGCCCCACCTCCTACCAGGCGCCCCTGGTGCTGTGCGCCCGGCCCCCCGGCTCCCGCGCCCCGCGCCCCCCGGCTACGCCCTCCCCGCCGCTGCAGCTGCTGGTCGCCGGGCTGGCCCTGCGCGGGGCGCTATGACGCCGGCCTCGTGCTGGACGGCAGGGGGACACCCGGGTCCTCCTGCGGCCACCTCCGGCCCCTGCCCGCCGGGCTTCGGAACCGCACCCCGATCTCCCCTCCGCTCCCCGGCAGCTGGGCCACCCCGGCGGCCCTGCCCACTGTCCGCTGCCCACTGCCCACTGCCCACTGTCCACTGCCCACTGCCCCCTCTCCCTTCCCTTGGGACTGTGGGATGTCACCCAGAAGAGACCCGGGACTCTGTCCCGGACGACGCCTGCTGCTCCCCCGCACCTGCGGGGTGCGGTTTACAGTTTCCTAACTCAGATTTAGCAACGCACACCCCAAACGGGCCGTGATTAAAGATGCCGCGTGGGACTCTGGCAAAGGGCTTGTCTCCTGGGGCCACTCGGCTTCCTGAGTTCTGGTTGCTGGCGGGTGGACGGTGGTCAGCGCCGGGGTGGGGCGCCGGGGTGGGGGATCTGGCCCTCCAGGGCCAGCACCAGAGCAGGGCCCGGCCTCCCAGGCAGGCTGCAGCCTCTGAGGCTCCCTGGGCCGCGGAAGGCCGGCGAGGAGCGCGGGGCTGGCTGCTGGGGGCTCCCAGCCTTTGCCAAGTAGTTAATTCTAATGCCAGCGGCAGCGCCAACACGCTCTGTGATTAGCCCTAGGCCACCATCCAGGGTCGCAGATTTGCTGTGTGGGACTGACGGAGGAGGGCAAGCTCCAGGCTACATCTTTGGGGCCAGCGGAGAAGGAGTCAGGGACCCCCGTGAGGCCCAGGAAGCTTGGCCTCTTCACCCAGCTGCCTCGCTGCAATGCTGGTGTGTGGGTGCCCTGGGCTCGGAGGGTCGGTCATGGTGGGACAGACTATGCCTCTCTGAGCCCTCCCCGCCATGCCTGGGGCTGCATTCTTGCTGTGAAACTAACTGGGGTAAGCTGAGAGTTTGCAGGACTGCCAGCCACTGACTCACCCTCTTCCGTGTGATCCCCACAGCTGACCCTCCTCCCAGACCCTGAAGGAGTCTTCCATGACCCTAAAGAGGCTTCCCTCGGGAGGCCCTTGTCCTCCTGAGGTCGTAGGGGCTTCCATGAACCCGCTGAAGTGGGTCAAACTTATCACCTGTTCTTTAGGGGCAGTAACACCCACCCGTATTCTCCATAGGTCTCGCACACCTCCGAGTGGCCCTGGCATGCTTACCAAAGTACGAGAAATAACCAGCTTTTTTATGCTCTTAGAGCTCAGGGCGGGAGGGCCAGATCCCGGCGGGACAGCAGCTCCTGTCGGCAGAGCGTCCCCAGCGGAGCCCGTCTTGTGTCTGAGGCACGAAGGGACCAGGCCACCATTTATCATCAAATTTGAATCTTTTAATAAAATTAAACAGCCTGAAAAATGTTCTTGCTGGCAATTAAAGTCAACCAAGGGGATTACGGTTCTACAGAAAGGAAGTGAGGCGTCTGCCAGAGGATGTGTGAAGGGGAATAAAACCAGTGGAGGGAAGCTCCGGCTGTCTCCGCTGTGCCTTGCTGCACTGCCCCCCTCCCTGCGGCTCCCCAGAGCCCTCCCAGACCCAGATCTGTCTCCCCATCACCTGCGAGGTTCAGTATGGCTCCTTGTGCCTCATCCACATGACCTTTCTGTTTCTTGAGCTAGGCTGTCACTGCCTCAGGGCCTTTGCACATACCCCCGCCCCTGCCAAACATCTCCTCCCCCAGACCTCCAGGTGCTTGGCTCTTCCTTTTCATTCAAGTCTCAAGCCACCTGTCACCTCCTCAAGGAGGCCTGCTGTTAGCAACCCCCAGAGCAGCACCCTTTCCCCCTCTCCTTCTACCTGTCCTGTTTTATGCTCTTTATAGTGCATTCCCATCTCCTGAGATGGTCTTCTTACACCACTTCTCTGCCCTTCTGCCTAGAAAGTCAGCTCACAGGGGGCTGGGGACTCCCAAAAAGCCCTCTCTCCAGCGGGCTGTCGGTGCCCAGCACCTGTGGAAAGAGGCTCGGCTAACACTGCTGACCTGACAGCATGACGGAGACCTGTGAGTGGGCCTGTGCCTCGGGCCAGGCATGGTGCCCAGGGCCCGCTGCGCCAGGTGAACGGGCTGCTTCTGTGAGTCTGAGTTCAGAGAGGAGAGGCGCTGGCCTGAGGCCACACAGGAGGCAGGGACCCAGCTGGAACCCAGAGACCCAGCAATGGGGGGCCCAGATTCCTCGCTGTTTGGAGAAAGGGGTTTGGGGCGCTTGTGGGGCCTAGCAGGAGCCTCTTCCCACCAGGAGGTGTGCTGAGAAAGGTACGGACAGCTGCTGTCCCTCTCCGAGGGACAGTGGGCACGGCAGTGCTGACCGCAAACGTGAGGCTGAGGCAGGAGGGTCATTTCGGGCCCCTTCCTTCGACCCCCAATGGCCCTGCAGCCCTCCCTTCCGCAACCCACCAGAGTGCGTGCAGCCACAGAGAACAAGCCCTGGCCCCCTTGGAAGACAACACAATTCATGCTCTCCGTCTCCGCTCAGTCACGTTCAGAGGGGAGGGGGTGCCGCTGATCGCTTCCCAGCGCGGCTCCCAGGAGAGTCCACGAGCTTTGTTTTTAAATAAAAAGTTTAAATTGTATACAGCTCTCAGAGGCCCATTAACTAACAGATGCTGGTTATCAAAAGAAGTTATTTCTTTGCCTTTCTCGAAGCGAGTGTGTTTAATCTCCCAGTGGTGCTGAGCAGCAGCATGAGGCTGCTGGTGACGCGTGGCCCTGCTCCACAAGTCCCCTCCCGGGAGCCCGGTGACTCAGGCGTGGGCCAGAGCCGCTGACGCAGGACACGGAATTGTATTAGGGCTGTGGCAGGGGCCGCTGGGCAGCAGGCCGAGACTCTGATCTACTCCTGAGGGCTGGCTTCTTTGCATGCACAGAACTCCCCTTAACAGGGTGCAGGCGGGAACACATGACCTGTCCCCCTCCCGAGAACGCATCTGTCCAGCTCTGAGACCCTCTGTCCCCGCCCCATCGCCTGCTGCATTCTGCAGTCATGTGTGCCTCCCTCCACGCTCTGCTCCCCACCAGCCGCTGCCCCCCGGCACCCATTTCTTGGTCATCGCAGGGATCATTGTCTGATCCCTGCTGGTCAGGTTCTTCTCCTCCAGAATGAGCTGACACTGGGCCCTCCTGTCCCCCACTGGATCCTGCCTACAGAATGACACCTGGCCCACATAAGGAAGGCAGCAGATACAGGCCACACAGGTAGACACGCTGAGTCCCGGCTGGGGGCTGATTGTAACCGTAAAGGTAACATCCATACAGCCAAGTGCTGGCTTGGAATTTCAGTGTTGCCAAATTGTTTGTTTTTTTATTAAGAACTCAGACCTTGAGGACTTGTTTGAGGACCTATTTTGTATTGGCCTGGCTATTTCTATCAGGGCACTGAGGACAGTTATTTTTCCAGACTAAAGGACCCCAGCACCTGGCCGGGGTTGCCTAGCATCTACACCAAGCGTCTAACTTTGCAAAGGCCAGAGAGACTGGGAGACCCTCAGCCCCACACAAGACGGGCTCTCCTTCCCAGCCTCTCCCCAGAGGAATGGGCTGAAACCCGATGACCCCTCAGGAGTGGCCTTCAACAAGGTCTTGAGGTGAGTCTGGGGCTTCACCAAGGGTTGCATCATCTATTTCCCGGGGCTTATCCACAACCTCCTTCTCTTCAGTCTACTTTTGATACTTTTTAATTAGAAAAATATCAAAAAACTAGCTCAGAAAAAGAAGTAACAAAATATACAGGCTCACTCTGCTCAGATCACTGTGATTTGAGTGAGTGCTGCTCCCCACCGAGCACCCACCAGACGCCAGGCTAAGGACAGTGCAGGGCACATGCTTTCTCCTCCTCTTCCAGGCCCAAGAGATTATGGGGAAGGAGCTGAAAGACACAGAAATCAGATGGCCGAACACAAAGGGAGAGAACGCACCAGCGAGACTGAAGAAGCTGGAAAACTAGAAAACTGATGACAATTCACTGAAAGCAGACTGCAGGATGCAAAGCCCCCCATACACACACACCACGGGTTCCCCCCAAAGGCTCAGGAACTGGCAGCCCTGGTGCCCAGAAGGCACAGGAGCACTGGGGCTACAAATGACTTACAGCAAGTCACAACTCTAAAGGTAAAAGGGTGGTGACCGCCAGGTCCTCTCCCTCAGCCCCGAACGGAACAGAAGGTTTAAAGAGGGAGTTTGAACTTGCCCTGGTCCAGGGCAAGGTATAATGCTGAAATATGGAGAGGAAATAAAGGCTTACACGTTAAGTGGTGACACGGCACTGCCTCTTTCTCCACTTGGCTCCTAAAGAAGCGGTGGCCAAAGCTATGTTGCTAGACAGAAGCCTGGAAGACAAAGCCTTCACCGCCCAGCCGTGGTGTGGCTCGGTGCCTCGCTAGCACACATAAAGGTCTGCGTTTGATCACCAGCATGGACAACAAAACAAAATAAAAACCCATTATTTTCTAAGAAAATAGTCCATTTCTCATAGAATAAGGGCAAACAACAATAAAAATTACACAACAATAAAAATTATAGCATCCTTGGGGAGGTATATATAAATCAAAAGCAAAATACTGTCAACAAATAATAAAAAAGAAAAAAACTTGGGAAAATTATAACGTTGCGGAAAAAGGTCACAAGAAGATGGAAACTGAAGTTGAAATTTTTTTCTAGGAACAAAAGAGAAAGGGAATTAGGAACTCAGCTGGCATTAGATGTCTTAAGGGCCACACCAGAAGCTGAAAATCAGCGAAACGACGCTCTCAAATGCTCAAAATGATTTTCAACTTTGTCTTTTATACCCAGTACAACTATCACCTAAACAGACAAGCAAAATGGTAAATTTCCAGATGTGTAAATCTGTCAGAAAAATGATGCCTCGCACATTCCTTTTTTGAGAGACGTGCTGAAGGACATGTTCTCACAAAATGAGGGAGTCAAACAAGAAAGCGGAAACTAGAGACCCAAAGAGAGGCGATCCAACCCCAAAGAGGGGAAAGACAGCCGTAGTGACACAGAGAATGAAGCGACGGACAGGGCACAACCGCAGCCAGCCCAGGGAGGACGGGACGGACGGCCCAGGACGGACTTCCCCGGGCAGTTCATGGAACTCACCGACCGGCTGCCCGACGCGGGGAGGGTGCAGCGGACTCACGCCTGTCAGGCTTCGCGGCTCAACTCTTGAGAGATTCATAGCAAACAAGGAGGTGAGAGGGAGGCCTGTAACTCCAGGGAAAACAAAGGGCTATGCAGAATAGCTCAGTGTAATCATCAAAGGGCACCCAAAGCAAGCTGTTAATATTCTCATACTCTCGATCATGCACACAGCCAAAATTATGGCAGAACTTTTAGGAGGGAAGAGGGAGGAGATCTGGG